AATTTATATAAAGTTGGTATCAATCCTGGAGGGATTTTTATTATCAAAACAGGAAATTGTCAGAAGTGGAGCATTTTTAGAACTTTCAGAATAAATAACGCGTAGGTAACCTATACGATTTGATGCAATTAACTAAAAAAATCCATAAAAAAATGATATCGCAGAGTTTGCACAATGTCACGACTTTTTTTATAGCTTTCTTTGTGCACAAAAAAAAAAGCGTTATTTGTTTGAATATATTTTGCACTCAATAAATAATATGCGATAACGTATATTATCTTTATATTATTTACACATTAATTTTGGGAGGCATTGACACGGATTATTTGTTGATAAGGACATACCTACTTACGCTCCATTTAAACGGAGTCATTCTTTTTTTACACTTAAAAAACTGTTTGCAGGTATTTATTTAACACTTCCTTTATAAAAAAATAAGAGAAACTATTCAATCATTTTAGAGAAAAATAATGTCATAAATAAATCACCCAGTATTTAAGTTTTATAAACGGTTATTCTAGCATAATATTTTTTTATTTTACACTGTGCCAATAAAAAATGTTTCAAGTATAAATAAGGCTTTTATACATACATATTGCGGAAATACAAGTCGCCATTAATTAGTAAACGTAATTGCATTTTGAATAATAAAATCTTATTAATTAATCAAATATTTACAATCAGTAAACAATAGGATGTACCGAATTGAATATTAAATTTTAATTGTCCTGATGGTCTTATACAAGAGAGAAAAAAATTTAGAGAATCAAAAAACAAATTAATGCAATTTTAATAAAATTAATGTAGACTATAAATACTTCTTATCTGAATAAGTCGATTCGCTTGGGTACCTAGGTACTTAAATGATAAAAACTGTCTTGTAATTCTGTGAAAAAATCCAAACGTTCAATTTTGTAATTATAAAATTAACAGAATTTCACCCTTCGAAATGAGTTACATTTTACCATAATTGCCATTGTAATATTACAGACTTTCCTGAATTGAAATACTGTATCGGATAAATACAAAAACAAGAAATCGCAAATATGGAAGTTGTTCGGAGAAAATTTAATTTCCGCTTCCTTTTCTAAACATTATTCAAACAAATGCGATAGGTTCTTATCTCAAAAAAATACAGAAAAATAGTGCGTACCTATAGCTGTCAATAAATAAAAATATAATTTTATATTTTATTTATCGATAACAATAGGATGTAATAATCATTCATTCATGTAAATAATTCATTTCTTATGATAAAATGGTATCATTCATCAGTAAAAATATTAGAAAAAAATAATAATGTGAAATAAAAGTATAGGTACATTTAGGTAGGTACCTACTATCAAAATGCTTTCCTGGATTTGCATAATTAACAAACTTTTATAAATGCTAATTTATTTATGCCCATTTCAAATTCAACTTGGAAATGAATTGCTTACCTACTTACAATTTGATTTTTTACGCGCATAATTTGCGTTTGCACTCAAATTGGCGAATAATAAATTTTTATCTTCAAGTTAAACCTCATTTAAACAATAAAAAATGCGCTAATTGCAACGTGCAAAAGCGAATTAAAACAATTAAAATTTTAATATACTGCTAAAAAATTTCTTATAAAGTAATAATGTACCTAATCACTGATTATCTCAAAGGCGAAATAAAGCTATAAACTTCCGATAACATTGTTTTTTTCAATGCATACCTACACGTATGTAATTAATTATCGTTCTATAATGAACCGATCAGAAATTTTATCAAATTAGTTGCCAAAAATCAACAACGACCTTCCTGAATGTTAAACTTTCATCGACACTGAAATCGACCACATCAGCTAGCGACTGAACGTTATAAGCATTAGGAAGGTGACGCAAAAGCGACTAAATAGAATTCGCGAAATATGTTATTTGGCCATTTGCTTGGGTTCAAGTTCAATGGTGGACCGAGCATGCACGAAAAAACTCTCATTACTGTTTGCTGCGGCGAATCGGGCAATTTCATTTCGATCCGGACGATGTGGAACAACATAATATCGATGTAATTGATTTAATCGCGGAGCGAATTTGCAACAATTCAATTTTCGAGAAGATACAGGTAGATAATGGCCGTTATGCTGCTTTGGGTTATGTAACCGGTTGTTTTTGGATCGATGGAGTTAGGTAATGCGTTATAAAATGATTAAAAAATAATGCACATCAAATCTCTCGCAGTTGCCAAATTGAAAAAAATAGAATTTACCTTCTGCAATTGAGAAAAAAAAACTTATTTATAAAACAATGTTTAAGTGTATAAAAATTTATTTGTCTGAAAATGATTTTTCTTCAAGCATATGTAGGCAATAAAATAAAGTAGAAATTTGATTTTGTAGCAAAATAGACTTCGTACGGTACTGTCTTGACCGAACTCTGCGATCACTGCATTTTATTTCCTTAAAGTGGGCCCCCAAATAATTATATAGCATCTATGCGGACCGCAAACGACTAGTTCAAATGAAATTTTGGCATAATTTAATTTGATTTGTTTGAAAAATCCCATGCACCAAAGTAGTATTCAATGTGGTTTGTATGATGGGTTTGTGTTTTTTAATAAGAAGAAATATTCAAAATAGACATTGAAGTTTTGGCAATAGACCTATTCAGTTTAACCTGTGCTGCGCGCGCATATTGTGGACAATTAGCTGGACATCTAAACGAACAAACGAACGCACCTCAGGTAAAATACGGTTCTGACAACCAGACAACGACAACTTAAGACGTCATTTGTCATTATCCAACAATCCGTCGGATTTAATGGACGCGGTGACTCGATACAAATTTGTTTTTACTGCCCAGAAAGGGGTTATAGGCTTAATATTTACGTACAAGTCAAGTCTAAGAAAGAGTAAGAGGGTTAGTACAAAGTTTCCGAAAATGCTTTTTGATCGGTTTGCTATAATATATATTTCAAAAAAATAATCCCATTGACCTATACAAAAAATTATTACCTTTATAAATAAATATACTAAATAATACAAAGAAATACTGTTAAAAATAATACACACTGAACATAAACAAACATCAAACGGAAACAAAATAGGGTTAAGAATGTTAAGATTGATAATGGTCTCTTCTTTTTTATATTTTAAACAGTTTTCATCTAAGAATCATTCAATGTGTCTGTCAATCAGCAATGAAATAGGCCAAATATCTCATCTCTCTTGCACTTATGTTTGCGCAGATTTTAAATGGTTCCACAAATTGCGCGTGAAACATATTTGCTTCTTTTATTCTCTTATGTTGATCAAATAACTCCATCACTCTCTTTCGTAAACTGAATAGGTCTATTGGAGGAGAATGTTATTAGCTTATTTTTCTAATTTTAAAGAAACAAATTCCGTCTTTTCCATGGCTAAATTACTAATCTAATTAATATCCTAATTTAATATTATACTTCTATGAATTATGATTGTTTAGCAAACCATATGTTGCCATTTGTTTTTCTTGACTAAAACAAACGGTTAGAAAAATTGAGAAAATGATGGGAAAGCATATAATGTTATCGTGAGCATATTTGAAAAAATCAATTAGCAAATGCAATGAGATAATGATATTTTTATAAGGAAAAAAATAATGCTTTAAATGTTTATGAAATAAGACATAAATTTTCGATAGAATTATAATCTATTAAAAATTTGGAGATACTGAAAAATAAAGGACCTACATAGGTAAGGAAAATTTATAGACAATTAAAATTGTCGGTTATTATATTTTGACTGTTTTCTCATATTTCACTTTATTTTGCATATTACACTGTTATAGATTTTTATAGTAAACCTCCGTTGATATTGTTGAGTGTAACATAGTTCCCTGTTGAGTAAAGTTTCTTTATATAAGTGCAAAACCGCATAAATTGGTAAGTGGTTGATGTAAATACTATCTGAGGCTAGTACATTATCCGATATGTAGTAAATATAATACCCCGTAATATGCTGTCAAATGTAAGTAAAAATTTATGTGCTCATAAAAAGATCACTTTTACTGACCATACAGAGATTTTATTGGGCTCAAGTTTACCTCTAATGTACTTAATTAAATTTAGTTGGATGGAATTTGAATAGTCTCAATAAGGTGGTTGTAATTTTTATTAAATAAATGCACAAAAAATTGATTAGTATACGAAAAAAAAATACTTAAAAACTGCAAATTTTATCAAAAATTATATCTACGTATTAATTTGAATTTGTGATTTAAACCTAATAATTACAACACACTTAATATTTAGAGAATTAATTAAATAACTATATAGTTACTATAATTAGCTTACTATAATTAAATAACTAATATTTACATCAGGAAAATCGCTAATAATAAAATTGTTTACTATGAATAATTACTTGGAATTTGCATCTGCGTTATTTCTTATAATGTGCGATTAAAAATTAAATCTAAAAATATAGGCAGTACCTAAAGCAAAAGTAAAAGAAAAAGAAAATTTTGAGTTTAATGAAAAAAGAACGACGAGCGCAATTAAAATGTGCGTATTCCTGCTGAAATTTTAATTATTAAATTGCAAGCAAGCAGAAGCATAAATAATGCTATAATAAACTTACGGAATTTCATGAAATGACTCATCGCATTTAAATGCACTTAAAATGATTATATAACGATTAATTAACCCGTTGAAATATTCAGTTTCAAAATGCGAACGACTCGCACTTTTAATCAATGAGCGTAATTAACGCAACGACGAGGTTTCATGTACAAAAACAATAAACAAGAAACTCTCCTCGGCACCTACCTCGCATTGCCATTATTTATAGCCAGTTAGTTCAAAACACGCACTATCTCGCACAATCCCTTAAACTCGGGGTCACAAAAAGGTCATGATACGAACCCCCCAAAAAAAGCTGCCTTCCCAGCGGATTAATCCCTCGGCTTTTCGGGCGAACAAAGAACGCGCGCACAGGTTTCAAATAGTTGCAATAGATTTTTGCAGTCTATTTGTGTTAACCAGGAAAAAATGTGATGAACTTGGCGCAAATTGCCGAAATTTTGGAGGGGAGCGCCGAGCGATACGCGGGGGCCGGGGGGGTCGGCGCGGATCGCATGGGATTATTACGTAAGCTTCGCAGTGCACGTCCGCGAACAACATATCAAAATCTACAAGGTTACGCGGACGCACAGTTGCCAAATTTTTTGATTAGACAAAAGTGCGTACATTTTTTTTTTTTGGTTCGGATGATGATTAGACAGCGGCGGGGCGACACGCCGGCCGCCGGGGCTTTTGAAATTGTCCCAGCGGGTCCGGACGGTATTTTAATATTCGCTGCTTTTCGTGCAAATAAATTTATTATAACATATGTTGGATAAAATTAGCTTGATTTTTACTGCCCTAGAATGGAAAAATTGACCACTGACGTTTAGCTATTTCTCCCTACTTTTATTTAAGCTAAACAAAATGTGAATGAACTATAAATACATCCACTTCATATTTTGCCAATGCATTTGAACAAACTTAACATAAACTTAACAAAGTATCTAATATCATTAGATTTATAGCAAATATAAATCACTTTTGATACAAACATGGTATCCACCTATTATCTAGCTCTGGCAGACTAGTTTTTTTCTTTGTGCTATTGACATTGATTAATAATATATTCGACTGAAAGGTACGAGTCGTTGCTAAACTAATTTTAACAAAATTCGAGTTAACTTTCTGAAAAGCCTGCTTAATTAAAATCAGGCTTGCAGATTCGACCAATCGAGGAAGCAAATACATCAGGTAAACAATTGATTAAATAAGTTCGTTTTATCAATACACGTAATTAATGAGCAACTCACAAAAATATTTACACAGCACAAGTTAATCAATTAAATGTATGTATGTATATGTAGATAATGCGAACTAGGTAACATTACTTATATTATTGAAAGATCAAATGACCAAAATTCCTCAAAAATGTTACTCACAGACCGCTAGTAATAGCTGAAAATGCAAACGACGAATGCACACATGAAGAGTAACTAATCTTTCGCTAATTCTCCAGAAATGTAACTGCATTATAATAGCTACAGAAAGCCCTTTGAACTTTACAAAAAACCTGCGGAATAGTTGGTAATACTTATAAAACATAATTATTATGAATGTGCTTGTGATACAGTACGAAAAATAGGCTGATTTTTTTTCGTTAAACATAATTTATACTTCCTCTATGAATTAAATAGTCAATAGTTCCAAAAGTAAATACATAATCCTAAATTGTTTACACTTGTAACTAATGTCAATGACTGAATAGGTGGGAACTGGTAAATATCGTTGTTCGGAATGACGTAATATTTAAGTGTTTAAAAAAGGCATCGTGACAGCAAAAAATCATTTGATTAATTATATCATTGTCACTTGCAAGGAACTCATTTTTATGTTATTTATTTAATTTAAGATACTAGACGGTAGAATTATTTCAAGAGCATTGGAGATATTACTTCAAATATTTTTACAATCAAGTAAGGAAAATAACTTTTATCTGCAAAATTGTTTGTAATTAATACTCCCCAATTTTTCCTGAACATTCTTAGTTTTTATGAAAGCGAGAAACTCGGCAACTGGGCCCACAGGCTTATATCGAAATTAGCATTGCTGCGTACAGTGTTCTCCTGCGATACGGTTGAATTGTTCCGTGCACCTTTCGTCAGAAGGAGAGCGATTTCATTTCTTTGTTCGTTCGAATCTCGGTGGGTCGCTCCTGCTGCCGAATATAATAGGAAGTTTCGGTTTCAATCAGGTTCTGCGTCTCCTTGGCTCGCAGCAAACGTGTCTTGAAGAGACCGCGATTTTCTATGCGAGTAACACAAAACGCGATCTCGCTGGGAGGAAGTTGCCTCAGAATGTTAATTAAACTAGTTCCTAGTTGGTAACTTTGGCCGTTCGAACGCATAATGCTGGAGAGATGGTTTACACGATTTGTTAAATCGTGATTTTATCTCTTTTGTATATAATAAATTTGTATAAAAAAATTAATGACGTTTAACCGTTATGAATGTGATGAAAAACGTATTTGTTTTAGTAGTTTTATTCGTTCATTGAATGTAATGCAAAAGATAAAATAGAGGAATTATTATAACATTTAATGAGTTTTACTATACATACTATATTTTTTTGATTAGGTACCACTTCTACTTTTTAACTTGTACAGGATTATTTCAAAGGAACCTAACTCAAGGTCGATTTCTGATTTATAACATTAGATAGCAACGACGATACATTTATTTATAGGTAGGTATTTTAAAAATAAAAATAATGCAAATTTATGTTACGGTAATTACCCTAAAATGTTATCGTATGCGCGTAAAATTCTATTGAAAAAATAAAATAAAAGCTGCTCGAACTCTACATTAAAATCCTGATTTATCTGCTTAATCCTGATCTTGGATATCTACTCCCTCTCTTGAATTAAACTTTAATTACAAGGACTAATAAAATTACCTAATTAATTATTGTTTATGACCCATAAATTATGCATTCAGGTACAATAAAATTCAATGCTTTCCCCTCCACTTATTTATTTTGAATATGCAATGCTTCAATACACAAAGGAGTATTGAATTACCGAATTTACTGATATATTGAAGAGTGTCCTTGTTTTTATCAGTTAATAGATTTTTTTATGATAGTTGACCTTTCGCAAACGTTCATTGAAGCAAACATACTTGTATTAAAATATTCCTAATTTTGTATAGGTGCTTTGAAGTGAAGATTTCTTTGGAGATATGTAAACCGAACAACAAAAATTGCGATTCGGGTTTTTAAGTGTCTATAAGGAGCAAAGGTCCTGATAAAAATTGTTTTTCAATTTTTAACACCGCACTTTCGGATAAAGGATTTCGGGTTTCAATTTACCACGATATTAGAGGCACGTTTTAGTTTACTAGATTATTAAAAATTTTAGTCGTAAAAGTGGATGTTTATAGCGACATTTTACCCCTTAAAGTACAGGGAGTCCCAATGAAAAGTAGCCCCTTTAATGAGCTTATATAATTTTTAAACGCCTAAACATAAAAACATGCGGTTTTCTCAAATATGTTTTATTTTATTAAAATTTTTTTACAGTGATACAAAAATTATGCGTTACCAATACATGGGGTTTTATCAAAATCTCCTCTTTTAAATTCATAGTAACCATTTTTTTAATAGAACACCCCGTATATACAAATATGTATATATTGAAAGACTCTTCTACTTTTTAAAAATGTATTATTTGAACATGTTATTCTACAAAAGAAGATGTCCTGTTTCATAAAATTTGTATTTTTTAAACGCAAAAATAGAAGTTAACAAAAGTGGTAAAGTAATAATCCAGTTCTGTTAGGTAAGTATTTATTCCATAACTAATCATGAACTGGATTTTTTTAATCAATAATAAAAAGTAATTGTAAGATTATTTTTTAGATAACAACATCCTTTATAAAATGTTTTCCATGAGCCTTGTACAGTGTGAACAACAAAAGTATATATTAAAAAGTTTTCTAGGCAATAAATTAGTAAATGCGTCTTACTTTGATACACTATTTGCTCGCCATTTGTAAAGTTATTCCTTATAATATTAAGTTAAAGTGTTATACCGTGTATAAAATAAATGGCCGATTCCAATTCATGCAATAATTGTTTCGATTTTTTATCTCTCTATAGATAATAATACACGTGTGCATCATTTATTGATATTTTCTGAACGATGACCTTGTTATTCATTAAGTTTTTTTTCATAATTCTTGAGAACAAATTAATTAATTCACAATAAATAGCATAATCCAACTGTATTGATAATAGTATTACCAGTGGCTTACTGATTATTCATATTTAAGAGGATAGATATTTTTATAGGTACCCGATTTTTATTGGAATATCTATCGATTTTTTTTCTCATTTAATTTGTTACAAAGAGTTGCTTGCACCTGCCGTTTGTTAACAGTTGATGAAACTTTTTTGCCGGAAGAGAATTACATCAAGGTCTTCTACTATATTATTAAACTATCAAGAAAACAAAGCAAAGCTAGAGAAGGAAGAAAATTAAAGAGTCTATTATAGTTTTAATCAGTAGATTTGGGAAAATGATAAGTAATAACTTTTTTATTTCTGTTAGCAAGAATAATAGGTATTGAATATTTCACAACATAAAAAATACAAAGTGCTTTGAGAAGTCCCTTGGAAAGGAGTTCACTGGGTAAAGCCCTGACACGGAATTGCGTTTCGTTATTTATACATAAAAAAGAAATCAAGAACGTTTCTGGACATCCGTTATCTCGAAAAATGCTCGTCATCCTTCACTCTTCTCATTCGCCCTAGTATAAGATAAAGCTGTAGAACAGAAGGATAATAAATAAGCAGTTGAAAGAAAAATATCGCATCTTTTTCATCATCGTAGAAAATTTGTCGAGATTTTTCTTTACAAGATTATTTACAATTTTTTTTTGTTTCATTCGTGTACACCACTGAACGTCTTCACTTCAGAGCACTTCTTTTCCAAAAATTAATAAAATAATCAATTGCAGATAAATTTTCGTACGTTGTTTAAAATTTCCCAATAAACAAGTGTCATTAAATTAATTAATCCTGTGTCAATGATCTAATTATTGATGTAGTCAGTTACCCAATGCGATTATTTTATTAATGGTGATAGGTGAAATTGCATAAGATGAGCTTGGCAAAGAAATATGATAATTGTGTATTTTCTCAGGCAAAATTAATATTTTCTGTAATAAAAAATTGACAAAGAGCAAGTCGAAGAGAAGAAATTTAAATTCGATGGTAGTTAAGCAATCGCAGAAATATAAACAATTCAAGATATTAGATAATTTTATTCACCTTTATTGAATAACAATTTTTCGGTTAAATTGTTGTAGGTATCCGAAAATCACCTATCGATCTGAAATAATATCTCTCTCGCCGGTTCATCTCTTGGCAATATTCCCGAAATTGAATTATCCGGGTCAACGCGTTAATTTGGAATACCACAGACATCTTCAACAGGTTAACAGGTAGGTAGTTATTTCAAGTTGATTAAAAATCAATAATCCGGTTCACACTGGAAACAAAAAATTATCGCTTCGCCAGTTTATGATTAATTTAGCAGCAATATTTTTAATTTACACCAAAAAATCATTCGTATTCATAGAGCTTTGCATCAAAAACGACTCATATTACTATGGAGTATGGAGTATTTGCTTGTTCTTCAAGTAAGAGCTTTTACTTCCTAGTACTATATTGTGGAGAATGATTTTTTACATGAAGTAAATTTTTTTATGGAAAGTGTTTACTTTGGTTAGAAGTATTAACCCAACTACTACAACTGCTACAACTAAATATTTTGTACGTAACTGGTACAAATGGGTCTCTCAAACCCACATCATTTTCCCAAAAATTCATTATACCGATCGGCTATACCGATTTAACATTGTTTGGATTAAAGCTAAAAGCATAGTGCTTGATAAAAGTTACCTAAAATAATTAACTACACGAAATATTTTTCGTCATACGTTTTATGTTCACACATGTCCCTACTTTTCATACCATAATTCACAAAAAATGCCATTTTTAGCACTTTTTTAGATGATTTACCTTCTTGATAAGAAGTTACTCTCTAATCAGCTTCTTAAAAACTACACCAAATTATCCCAAATGCAGGAAATTCTAGACAACATTAGTAATTTCTGGACAATTAATTTCTACATATCGAAGTAAATAAAGCAAAGTATGAAGTAATTGCTCCTGGTACATACATTAGTCTAACTATAAGAATTATGTGGACGTAAATGCTATAATTTTTTGAAGTAAAAAACTACGAAATTATGATTTTACTTGAAATACAAGCAAATACTCCTTTTAATCATACCACTCAAAATCTACCCAATAACCACGTGTATTTCGCGAGGAGAATGTTTTTAAAAAAATAAATAGAACAGCATTATTTGCACTGCTAATGTTTTATTTAAGTGAACGTCTAATGTAAATTTAGTTGAATGTGTTATGTAGTTCGCCATAATTGGTTCCGAAAATAAACATCAGGAGTGAATAAATTTTAAGAATAAAAATAGTATGTTTCGCAAACAACGCCGGGCGCATTCAAAAAAATTGGCAGAAATATCAAAATAAAATCAATGAAAGAAGGCTAAATTTCGATCAAGAATTAAGTAAAGCAATTGCGATTTAATTGTAAGTAAAAAATGCACAAGTAGAAACGAAAAGATCCGTTGTATTTTATCAGTATTTTATTTTATAGTCATGTTAAAATTAAACAACCAAAATTTGTTTAAATATTTACCATTATATCGTTTCAGTGTTATTGGTTATGTAAGCCAAAAAATAGAGATAACGATTGTTAAATTCGCAAATACTAAGGTTGCATATCTTTTATTATTTTTAACAAAGTTCATATTTGTTAAGATTAATTCGGTGTTAATGACCTCTTAAAGATTGATATTTTTTGCGGTTTAATCTTGAATTATATACAGAGGATCAAAAATGCTTCAATTCCCCATATCCGTTCAACGTAGGTACATAAGTAATATTTTCATAAACAATTAAAATTCTACACGCAATGGAAACACACAGTTTGCATAACTGAAAACATCTTATTGACTCCCTTTATTAGAAAAACAGAATAGAAAAATAGAGATGTTCGTGCGTATTATTCTCGAGGATTGTTACAGTTTGAATTAATTTTAAAGAATTGCATTAAGAGTAAAATTTCTTTATATCTTGATCCTTACTTACTATGTAGCAATTTTGTGATGTGCAACAAACGATAGAGATAACAATTATCCTAGCCTTAAGAATTAAAATAAATTTCTGATTTTTTATTTGTCTATAGGTAGAAAAAACTGAATAATTATTATAAACCGTCAAAGAGAAGATAAATTATTCTCAATTTTAAATGAAACCAAACCAGGAAACATTAAATTTCTATCGGGCCGAACAGGTTCTAATTAATTCGTTGGAGTTTTCGATTTTTATTATGCATGTAAATGATCTTATTATGAATCCTTTCAAGGAAAAAAACTATTCATATTTTGGATAGGTATAAATTAGCGTTCCTGTCAAGAATTGTGTTGTAACTAACACTGCATATAAAGTAATAAATTTATAAATTTATTTTATTCATTATTTCTAAAGAAAAATAAGTATGTAAGTATATTTTTAATCCGAGTAAGAACTTAATAGAAATATTCCAGCTCAAATCGGTAAGAAGGCCTTGAAGAATAGAAACTTTTAGAATTAATTGTAGAAAATCTGTCAAACTTCCAATATTCAACAAAAATTAACACTCTACGCACTTATCACCTAAATAAAAACCGCATTATTTATTATATTTGCACGTCCATTACGAATCGGTTTTGCGCGTTTCCATGTTTTTTTAGAAAAAGCCGATCGCCTCTTGTCTAGGAACATGTAAATATTTGGCGAACGAAAATATAGAAAACTTATTCACATATCGCCCACAAGTTCAATGCACCGAGCATTTTTAAAAATGCTCGCTTATGTCATGTTAGTTCCAACTGCCAAAGTTTCATGCCAAAGTCGAATCGCCTGAAGCCAACACGATATGATTCTGCGTTTAGTTTATGGACGATGGTAGTGTATAACCAACCGGCCGCACAAATTATGATTTTTTTGGCCAAATTCTATATTGAATGAAAAATATATACAGGTTGCTCTATTTTTGATCGCAACATAGGTTATATAGGCCATGGGTGCGATAAGGACAACTTCCATTAGACACTTATAAAGGAAAAGGAAAGAATGACATTTATGTCATTTATGTATTTTCACTCTGACAACTGTTATTTTATAAATCTTTCTTTGTTCCACTCATAGAAATGATCAATTTGCAATCGGAAATGGAGCAAACGATATGTTAATAAAGAAATGTTGATAAGATGGAAAAGTTAGAGGTTGAAATATTGTGCAAGTTATATATGGAGATATTTATGAAAATTATTGAATGGAAACAGAGCTTTATTATCACCATAAAGCACATACAACATACAACATACAACAAGTGTAATTTGCACTTATTAAATATATTGCACTTGTTAAACAAAGAAAGATTATTAATATAACAGAGGATAGATTGGGAAACTATCAATCCCTCAATATCACTCTATCGTTTCTCTTTTTTCCTATGAGACCAAACAAACATTACAACTAATTAGACATTACAACTAATCTTTGTATGAGACTAATAATAGTTATTGGGCCCATAGCCTATAATGCAAACAATTTTGTTTCTACCTCTATAGAGAAGACTTACTGGTAAAAACTGCCTCTTTTTTGTTTTCACAGTCAACCATCACCTAGTAAAATTCATGTGACAGATTATTTATATCACTTTCATTTTAGTTGTAACCATCATTCAATCATCCACATATTCGGCACATTCCCAGCTCAAAATTCCCAGTTTTCAAGTTCTAATACACAACTAATGCAATGGGTGAAAAAAAAGACAACCTCACCGCCATTTTAGAAAAACCCAACGTCATCAAATTAGAACAACGACCCATACCCAAACCGAACTGCACCCAGGTCCTGTTGAAGATGGAGGTCGTGGGAATATGCGGTTCGGACATTCATTACTGGCTAGAGGGCCGTTGCGGGCCTTTCGTTCTAGAAGCTCCAATGGTCATGGGCCACGAAGCATCCGGAGTCGTCGTTGAGTGCGGCAGCAAAGTCAAAGATCTGAAGGTAGGCGATCGCGTAACTATAGAACCCGGTTACGGTTGCAGGAGGTGCACTTACTGCAAAACGGGCAAGTACAACATCTGCCCGGAGATGGCCTTCTGCGCCACGCCACCGATCGACGGGAATTTGTGCAGGTACTTTGTAATGGAGGCCGATTTCTGCTACAAATTGCCGTGCAACATGAGCTTAGAAGAGGGCACGTTGATGGAGCCGCTGGCTGTTGGTGTGCACGGTTGTAAATTGGCCAAAATCACGTTAGGTTCCGTCGTTTTCGTGCAAGGAAGCGGTCCGATCGGTTTGTCTGTGCTGTCTGCGGCGAGAGCCTACGGAGCTGCGGCCGTTCTCGTTACAGACATAGCGGATTACCGGTTGGAATACGCCAAAAAGTTGGGAGCATTCGAAACATTGAACACCGAAGGCATGGATGAGAATCAAATAGCGGAAAAGGTGAAAAGTATATTAGGTTGCGAGCCTCACGCCACGTTCGAATGCGCTGGAAACCTCACCTGCGCCCGACTCGGCCTTCTCTGCACCAGAGCCGGAGGCACCGTAGTACTACTAGGTATGGGCGGGTTGGAAATGAGCCTACCCTTCGGAGCCGCTTTGGTCAAAGAAATAACTATGATAGGTTCGTTCCGATATAACAACGATTATCCCGAGGCCATAGAAATGGTGAGAACTGGAAAAGTCTCCGTCAAGGAATTGGTCACTCACCGATTTAAAATAGAAGACACCGAAGCCGCCTATTGCACGTTCAAAAATCGGTCTGGGAACCCCATTAAAATAATGATTTACTGTAACGAGGACTGGGACGGCAAGACTCCTAGATGAAAAATTCAGTTGAATCGAGTTGAATAGTAGTACAGGTTTAGTAAATAGTTCGAAGTAGTGATGACATTGTAAGTAAATAACTGTAATTGACAGTAAACGACCAGTATAACCACTAAAATTTTGCTTTTATTTATCTAAGCTGCTTAGTTGGATGAATAGTATAATATAGCATGTTTGGTATACGTTTTAAACAGATTTAAGTATCAAATCATTGTATCAAAAGTATTTCTGAACTGTAACAGGAATTTAGAATAGTAGAGGAGGTGAATAATTATCACCTGTTATATTTTATGGTCAATGGATCATATTGACCATGCTTTTCACCATGTGGTATCGAAAACAATTCTTATGTCTTCAATGGCGCTTTCAGAAGATACAGGAAAACTAATTGGGTGCTCTGAATGATTATGAAATTAAAATATCTAAGTACCTAGAGAAGGTGAGCATTTACACATTTAATTGCCAATGACTCCATGAGCTGCGTTCTTCGATTTGGTGATGGCTATTATTAAAATATCGAAAATAAAGCAGATATCAGCGGCTTATCTATTCACAACTTTGCAATACCTCTTGAGATATCAAAACAGCCGGTAAACAACGCACTACCGCGAATCGAGCGCGGCATAATCGAATTTGGCAACGGCGTGCTAAAAACCAAAAAACCTACTGCTGGTTCCTAATAATAATCGCGCGCGTTGCGCGTCCGTCTGAATCCCTGCGGTACGGTTCGCGCTCGCCGCTCGTTGCAGGTTTGCAAATATTCAAATATCGCAGCGGCGACGCGGAGGGGGCCCGATGCGATGACCATGAGAGCGTTTTGGCAAAGGGGCGCGCGAGGCGAGAGCGGGGGCGCGGGGCATTAGCCGCTGCTAAGGACGCCTCCGTGCGGCATGTGAACATGTGCGAGCGGCACCCGTGTAAAAAAACCGAAACGCCGCCTCTAACGTTTTTACGCCATGAGCGCGCGAGTTAATTTCTATTTCGGCTATCCCTTGTAGTTATATTCCGATTGCGCCCCGCGCTATCGGGCCTTATCTGAAGAGAGGAAACAAAGTGTTTGCGGAGTGCCACTCATGCCTCAGAGATAACGCGAACGTCTCCGATTCCTCCGCCGCAATTTGGAAATCTCGGCTCAACATCAACTCCGTAATTCCCTTTCGACCGAGCTCGGGGGCCGGAGGCGGGAAGGGGGCACGAAGGGCGCCACTGTCGCGTTTGCGAAAGGGGTGAGCGCCGGAGCACCAGTGGTTTCAACAGGACTGGCTTTCGGAGATAATGCAATTTTCCAAATTGCAAAGGATTTAATTATTTTTCTATAGGATCTTGTGAAATTAATTGGGTAATTAGGTAATTTATTGGCAAACAGAACCTACCCGAGCGTTTAGATGCGTAGGGGTGTCCGGAGAGAGTGTTAATTCAGGAGTGTAATAGAAATTAAACGATAATTTATATGTTAAATTGGTGGTTTGCTAATTAATTTGGTCATTTTCTGGTATTCAAGACATTTTTTGAATCCATTTAATGAATAGAAAAAATAATTCAACAATACCTATACTTAATTAAAATAATGACTTTATAATCCAGTATAAGGAAAAATTAAACAAACACGCACTTAAAAGGATAAAAAGTACTTAATTGATAAAAAAATCTAAAAACAGTGAATTTTGGAAAAATGCTTTCAAAATTATTAAGTTTATATAATAAAATCTTCTTACTACATTTTAACAAAAATGCTATAACGGGTACATTAAGGAAACTAATTTTATTCTATCATATTTCCTATATTAATACATTCACCCTTAGGTATATCAAAGGCCTAACAACTTATTTTAAAAATTAAGTCAAACAAATAGTGTTGTGTATTTTTCCAAAAGGAAGACGGAATAAATTTGGAAAGAACATTCGAAACAGAAAAGTTGCGTGCCAATAAATTTGCATATTCGCACCGCTAATATTCGAATTAAAGAACATCTGCGTGACTCTAATAATAAAAGGTGAATAATGCGGAAGGTAACGTTGCCCGATAATATGCAAACTTCCCGGAAAAATTCGCACCGTATTCTAGTGACTTTACGCGTACCAGGAAAAACCAGTGAAGTACATGAACTGAACAATTTTATTCGAACCGAAAATATACCTGAATATTTGAAAAACTTCTGCACAATGTCCGAGATGAGATGAAACAATTTACGTATACCTTCTAAAATAGAAACCTTCGACTGTAGACAGGATTTTAAATCGCGACTTCATTTTTGTGCGTGCTCGCATAGGTTGTGTGAGGTTAATGTTTAGTCATAAACATAATGAAATATCAATAAGGTTAAACACGTTTCTGAATGTAGAAAAAAAGCAGGATATGCCCAGCTCCACGGTGAAGGTGCCCACAGAGGCGGAGGTAATCGATTTCGCAGCAGGAGGTGTCTTACGCACAATTTTTCGTTGTTGCTTGTCGAATGTATTTCATTTGCTTCGACATTGCCGCTCAATTTAAACGGTAACGCTGCTTTTTTATGGAACATTGCTTACAGTGCGTACTGATTGCGAAAGCAGGAAATTAACGCACTTGAAGATGAATAATGATGAGAATTTATTGGACTAAATATTTATAGAAAAGTTGCAATTTATTTATATATCTTTTGCAAATGGTTGATTTTATAGGGTGTGTTAATGTTATTTAAGGAAGTTTTTGGTGTATTTTATAAGAATAGAATTTTTAAAATAACCTTGGAAAGGTTTTCTTGAATTTTTTTAAAGCCTGTACATGATTTTTTAACGTATTTTTAATTGTTTTCAGAAATTTTTCTAATAATTACAAAAATTACCTATTTTGAAAATTTGAAAAAAATTCTTTCATACATTCATATTCTATAATCATCTTTCATTAATTCTGTTCCCGCATTCCAAAACATTCTGTTCCCTAAATGTTGCAAAATATGCAAAATAACGAATCAATTAGTGCACTAGTTCCTGAATTAATAACAAACGCACACATTTACAAATTTCCAACTTTATATTATTTAAATTCCGATCAAATTTCATGACAGGATGAAAATATCACCCGATAAAACCCGATCTCCGAGCATCTCGTTCCGATCAAAAATTGAGATTAGATAAACCGAAAAAGGAGCTCCTCAGCCGTCACTCATTCATTAAATGTTTTCGAAGAAACTTTTTTGTTTGGAGTTTCACTTGATTATTGAATATGCCGGTGAGAATATCAAGCTGGGGGAGAACTTCGCAAACTCTCCATTTTTCATGTAACTTTATATGCCTTTTTAGGCATGATAAGTTGGCGTAAACTTTACCCACCGAACGACGGGTCCCGGCGAATAATAAACAACAAATTTCTTGTTTCGTCAATACGCAAAAAGACATAGTAATACTAAAGAATTTCCGCTTTCAGACTATTTAAAATTTCGCCAATATTGGTATGTAAATTCATCCGCCAAAATTTGAAGAGCTTGCAAATTGGAGTTGAAAATATGGCGGAGGAATTTGCAAGAAAATGTCGCTAAAATTGGCACCGAATTGTATAGAAAACTCGACAATTATCTACACAAACTAACGAAAAAAAAACCGCCAATTTCATTCATCATGCTCGTCAAGCACCCTCATTTGAATAGATCCTAAAATAAGCGCTCCTTTGTTCAAACGAAACCAGCAATGATTATGATTATTTAAGCCGGCACAAGGCCGTCCTGAAATCTTCCAAGAATCCCGGAATATCCTAATACACAGATGACAACCGGGCCGGGGAAGTGGGCCATCATCTGCCCATCGATGTCGCCGCATCGGCACAATGGCAGTGCCGAATCTGGAGAATGGAGCCCCAAATAGCCTTGGCCCTTCCAGAAAGCGAAAGCTATAAACCCCGCGCTGTTGCCGGTACTACACCGCTAAATCAACTAATTTAAGTAATTTATTGATTAAGATATTAAGCGTTATCGAAATTGTGGTTAATTAATATTTGTGCTTAATTATGTAATTATTTTTGTCAGTGCATAATAAAAGTGTGTTGTATATTTTTTGATTCTTGTATAGTAGGTATAGTGAGTAAGGGTAATTGTATAGAGCAATAAAAGTATAAAATAAAGGAAATGTAGCGTGTGTAATGGGAAATTCCGGACGAAATTAGGGATTAAAGACTCAATTGCAGTGCCCGCAAAGTATTGATTCAAATGCACAAAAAACCTGGCAGCCGACCGGCCGGGAAATCCGGGCGAAAGCCGGCAACGCGGCGGCAGCGTGGGCAGACAGGCCGCCACCGGAGAGGGGCGGGACGCGGCCGGCGGCGTCGAGTCGTCGCGCAGACACCATGCACTCTGCTTTGCAGGCCCTGCACCCTGTACCCCCTCGCTTTCTCCGCAACCTTCAATGTCCCTGACAACGAGGCCGTCTTCCGCCGCCTTCGCTCTTCGCCGCCGCCTCCGCGCCGCGAGTCCCGGCCGAGCACAGGGCCGCATCTTTCGGCTCCTCGAACTTCACCCATAACTCCTCCAATTCGATTCCCGACACCCAGATATATTCATACCAAATCTTCTGCACCGAACTTGTGCTCTATTTTATAAAATACTCGCGGAGAAAACCGAGGGAAAAGCAGGTTCGCGTGCAAGGTATTCCAAAGCCGGTCCTGCAGCCTGTATGATTCTATCGGCTCTTGTGTCATAGCGTGTAACTGTATAGCCCGCGTTTAGCTGTACCTTCACTTTCTATACACTACGTATTCAATTGGGCTTCGCTTTCGATTTCTACGAGGCGAAGGGTATCGAAAGGGAATGGAATCAATGAGAATCGAACAGCTCATTATAGCTGATGCTAAGTAGGTATACACCTTGAAAGGACCGAGAGGAGACCAGCCCTGCCGCGGCTTAATTTGCAGCGCTAAATTGATTTGTTGACTATATTAAGGGTTATTCTGGCACTCGCGCTCAAAGGGGGGATTCGATTAGTGATTAAAATTTCGAAATATAATTGAATAAATAAATTACTGGGCTATGAGG